AAATAAAATAAAATAAAATAAAATAAAATAAAATAAAAAAAAATCACTGACAAAGTTACAAAAGAAAAGATTGCTATCTGCATGAAGTCCAGTTTCGGCCAGAGGACCGATGTTTGCTTACTTGGGGGAACTTACCAATTGTGAGCATGACATTTTCTCTCTGCTTGAAGTTTTTTGGATCATGGTGGTGGTACGAATTAGAACCATGCTCTGAATGGGGACCAACTCGTTTCTTTGCTGTCCCTTTCCAGAGACAAGTCTACTTCTCATTTATTCTGACTCGGCCTACCTTTATGCCAGGGTCTTCTAAGATTTCATATCTTGGGTGTTATTTTTATTGTTTTCTTTCTTAGTGCCAGAGAAAATGATGCCTCTTCCAAATAATAGTATCTTAGATGAAATATAGTATATTTGAAATAATGTACATCAATTTAAGCAGCCTACAGACAATATTTTCCATACCGTATGTATTCTCCAAAGACATTATTTTAGTGATTACCCAGGATTCCATATTATAATCCATAATCCATTATTCTCATTTTTGTAGAATTCAATTGCTTCTCATTTTTCACAGTATAAGGCTGTGATGAATATCATTTCATGTATCTTCATGTCATTTCTGATCATTTCTTCAGACCAAACTCCTAAATTAAAGCATAAGGTCTAAGGTATGAAGATTAAGACATTTTTTAATGTATTGCCAAATTGACCTATAAAAATGCTCATCACTTTACATAACTACCAGCATTTATATAAGGGGCCTATTTCCCCTAAACTTAAATAATATCTGTCAAATTTCTTATGTAATAAAAAACTTTCTCAATTGTTCATTAATTTGTATTTATTTCTGTGGCTGGATGTTTCACATTAGTTGCTCATTTACAGCTCCTCATTTGTGGATCATCTCCAAATGTCATTTGGCTATTTTTCTATCAGGATGTTAGTCTTTTATGTTAGAATGATTTTTATTTGTAGAATGCTATTGCACTGTTGGTGGGAATGCAAACTGGTGCAGCCACTCTGGAAAACAGTGTGGAGGTTCCTCAGAAAATTAAAAATAGACCTACCCTATGACCCAGCAATAGCACTGCTAGGAATTTACCCAAGGGATACAGGAGTACTGATGCATAGGGGCACCTGTACCCCAGTGTTTATAGAAGCACTCTCAACAATGGCCAAATTGTGGAAAGGCCTAAATGTCCATCAACTGATGAATGGATAAAGAAATTGTGGTTTATAGACACAATGGAGTACTACATGACAATGAGAAAGAATGAAATATGGCCCTTTGTAGCAACGTGGATGGAACTGGAGAGTGTGATGCTAAGTGAAATAAGCCATA